TTGCAAATTTCTGAAAAGGAAGTCCAAGTCGGGCAGACACTCCCTGCAGGGTCTCAGCCTCTGCCAGACCTGCACATCCCTAAAAAACAGGACTGAGAAAGCAGCTCCAGGAACATGGTTGCCCTCTGTTTTTGAGATCATCTTTCCCATTGCTTGGTGCTTCTGAAGTTAAGGGCATGGAGAACTGCATGATCTCTCCCCCTTCTTTGAATCCTGAATCTTAGTTACAAACTAACCCTACATTTTTCACCAGATATTCAAATGGAGTAGACTATGCTAGTGTTGGCTTTCAGTGAGAACTGCATTGTCAAGCCTCAGAATGCCACACCTGGTGTTCTCTACCTGGCGCATTTGACTTCATCCACCACATTTGGTTCACCACATGGCAAGAGGCCACCTCTGTTTCCACAACCGTTTCTGTTCCTCTCCCTGCCCAGCCACCTCTGCCTGCCTTACCTTCCTGAGTGTGTAGCCAGGGGCCAGCTGGCCAACAGCAAGTGGCCGGATCCAGATTCCACAATAGCAACCTCTGGCCAGTGTCACACATGCAGTGCCTTGTTTTCCCTGCAGATGAAAATGAATGCCTCAGCGCTCACATCTGTGGAGGAGCCTCCTGTCACAACACCCTGGGGAGCTACAAGTGCATGTGTCCTGCCGGCTTCCAGTATGAACAGTTCAGCGGAGGATGCCAAGACATCAATGAGTGTGGCTCTTCACAGGCCCCCTGCAGTTATGGCTGTTCCAATACCGAGGGTGGCTACCTCTGTGGCTGTCCACCTGGTTATTTCCGGATAGGCCAAGGGTGAGTAAGCACTACTCTTCCTGGGACAACCATACTTTCTGTAATTTTTGCATTAATTCCAGTTAGCTTTGTAAAGATTTTAGGTTATTTATTTGAAAGGGCGCATCTGGGTTTCTGGAAACACATAGAGCATCAAGCAAAATAGTGAAACTACATTGTAAATACTATCTTTCTGTATGGCTTCTCTTTTCTATTCTCTGATCTTCACATGCTGGGAAGTGCTCTGCATGCTAGAGACAGACAGATACAGAGAGAGGGAGAGTGAGAAATCACCCCAAGGGAGTATGGCCATAACTCAATGGCCCGTAATAGATCCTGCATGCTGCTGATCCTCCCTTCTTGGGCAGGCAGGATTTTATCTTGTCTTAAAAATGCCTTCTTGGGGACCAGCAGATGGTGTAATTGTTATGGTGCTGGACTCCCACATAGTTGACTGAAGTTTGAATCTTGGACCCAGTGACTTGAAACTCATGCCAGGCATGTGTGTGTGCATGCATAAGATCCCAAGAGGAGAATGAAGGAGAAGGGATTGTGATGTGTCCATCACAATGAGGGATTATTTCTCACTTTCCGTCTTTCTGTTTCTGTCTGTCTCTCCAGCAAGCGCATGCGCTCCTTAGCAAAAAAATCTCTCTCAAAAAAAGAAAAAGCCTTCTTTTCCAGCTCCCATTAGGGTTAATTAACAAAAGAGATAACTTCTTGATAAGGTCTTCCAGGGTTTTGAGCTATAGTTTTAAGACTGGAATTTACACCAAAAATTGCCAGGTAAGTGTTAAATATGAGAATTGAAATAATTATTGTATTTTCCAGGTAGAAAACGTCACCAAATCTGGGACAGGGAAGGAATATTTTATTTTACTCAATGACTTAAAAGTTTAGCGGAGGGGGGGCCAGCAGATGGCATAATGGTTATATCCCTTCACTCCCATGTAACCAACTGCAGTTCGAGTTCCAGAACTGGTGGCTTAAAACTCATGCCAGATACATGTGTGTGCATGTCCAAGATTCTGAGAAGAGAATGGAGGAGAGGGGATTGTGGTGTGGCCATTGGGTAATTTCTTATTTTCAGTCTCTCTCTGTCTCTCTAGCAAGCACGCATGCCCGATAGCAAAAATCTCTCTTAAAAATCAAAAGTTTAGTTTAGGGACCAGCGGGTGGCATGGTGGTTAAGGCTCTGGATTCCACACAGCTGAGTGTGGTTTGAGTCCTGGACTCAGTAGCTTGAAAATTACACCAGGCATTTGTGTTCACATGCTGAGAGTCCCAAGTGGAAAATGGAGGAGAAGGGATTGTGGCATCATCATCCCCACTGGGAGGTGATTTTTGTACTTTCCCTTTCACTGTCTATGTCTCTCTCCAGCAAGCACACATGCCTTATGGCAAAAGCCTTAAAAAAGTGTAGTGGAGGAGGGCTAGCTTAGTGTTAAGGCAGATAGACCCTACATGGCTGACTGCAGTTCAATCCTAGCCCCAGTGACTATATTTTTCCTTCTCAAAATGTTGATCCAAAAAGGTAGGATATCTATCAGGACAGAAAGTTCCTATTCCAGAGGCAGACCCTGACTTATAAGCCTACCAAGCCCTAATGGCTTAAAAATCATGCTGGACACATGTGCATGTGAGCCCAAAATCCTGAGAGGATGGAGAAATGGAGGCAAAGGGATTGTGACGTGATCGTGCTCCATTGTCCATAGTGAGTGATTTCTCCCTCTGTCTGCCTCCTCTGTCTTTTTCTCTGACTTTCTCTGGGAAGTGCATATGCTCTCTGGCAACTGAAAACACACACACACACACACACACACACACACACACACACACACACCTTTTAGTGGGTCCAGGTGATGGTGTAATGATAACGTCATTGGACCCATGTAAATGGTCTGGGTTCACATTCTGGGACCTCCTCATGTGCCCATAATCCAGGCCTGCTGAGCCTGGGGTATGTAGAGGTATGAAGACACTATTGGGGGTGTCTGTATTTCTCTTTTATGGAAAGAATAAGTAAGTAGGCTTTTAAAAATAAATAAATAAAAGTCTAGTGGTAAGTTTCCAAAGTTTGTGCTCTTTTTCCTATTGAATTAGTCAGAACTTGGGTGTCCATCTAGCTTCGACTATCCTGTGAAAAGTCATAAATTTTCACTTTTTAATTAGGAATGCACAGATATTAAATATACATACAAATCCATATACTCCCACCCACACAAATACACCTCCATCCACAGTTAGGTATTTGCACACGGACAGACACACACACGCCTGCTTCTACCAAATCATTATTGTAGTGGTCTCTCACTCCTGATGCACAAACATCAAAGATTCATTTTGGGTTCATGTAAACTTGAAGGTAATGATTCGTGGGAAGCATACAGGATGCCAGCAGGAAGACACAAATTCCCAGATGTTCATGCCTGGCTCTCAGTAGACTCATTCTTAGTTTAATGCTGGGACCGTTTTTCCAGCAAAAATTGTGACACTCCAAACGGGCTTTTGGCCAGTGGGATTTCGTAGTCGCACTTCTTGTAAGTCTTACTCGTGGGATATGAAAATACTGGAAAGGGATTCTGAGAGAGGGACCAAAGCCTGAAAATTTGAGGTTTAGTTCTCAATAATGTAATCATCATGTGGATGTGTACACACACAGGATGGGCATTTATTATTTCATCAGCTTTATTGTTTGTACACATTGTTGCAAAATAAAAAAATAGAGGAAATGTGTTTAACACTGGCAAGATTGGGGGAAATAGCAGGAACCTGTATGGTGCTGTGAAATTAAAAAAAAAAATAAATAATCTGCACATTGGCATCATAGTTTGCAACCTAAGGGTATACAGGAAAATGGGTTATAAAGAGTAGGTCAGCCATTACAGAAAAGCAGGTACCTAATGCTTGGGTTACATTATGATGCCTCGGTAGACATCTACCCACTTCCAAGTTCTGGTGTCTCTATGAATCACTAGAGTGGACCCTTTCCCCCAAAAGAAATTCACATAGAACCATTTATATGTTTCCACACATTTGGAAAGAGGAGCCTGGTAAATATGCATTCCATGGGGCCTTTGAAACAGTAAGCAGAATAGCAAAACAAGGTACTTGTGAAACATGCAAGCCTCCCTCTTAACTTGGCTTTGATAGCTGAGAGGCAAAGAAAAACAGCTGACTAGTTCTCTCTTGGGCATGGGTTTGTTTATTTGGCTTCACATGAGTCAGAGCCAATGGCCCTAGTGGTTTTGAATGACTTGAAACCATTTCCCACAGTTGGGTAAGCTCTGATACACGCATTTTGTATATTGCACATCATCGTAGTTTATTATTAAATTTAACCTCAGTTACCACCTGGGGCTCCCTTCCTAGCCTCAGTAGCATCAGCAACAGTGAAAGGTCAAGGAGTAGGAGGAATTGCCCAGAAGCTTGAGTGTGGAAGGGTGGGGATGGAGGTGGAAGATGGTAAAGAACTGAACAGTGATGTCTCACACCTTTTTTCACTCCCGTGAGCCTGTTTCATTAAAAGAAGAAATTTTATTTAATCTTTCAAGTCACGTGGTCTCCCTCATCCTTTTTCTTTCATTTCTACTCCGTATTCCCTCCCCAGCACATGTACTGCAAAATGTCTGTCCTGTTAGGTTTGGGAAATGAAAGAACAAATAAAAATGCAAAACAGGAGCCAGCCCCATAACCTAATGGTTAAAAGAGCTGGATCTCATATGGCTGACTATGGTTCAAATCCCAGCTCCAGCAGCTTGAAAACCACATTGAATGCAGGTGCATGTGTGCCCAGAATCCCAACTAGATGGAGAAATGTAGGAGAAGGGATTGTGGTATGACCACACCCCATTGGGGAGGTGCTTTTGCGGTAGGCAGTTAGTCATGAGCTGGCAGCCCTAAGAGAAAAGCAAAAGGGCATTTTGGTTAATGCCCTAATTCCCACTAGGGTGATAAACTAATTAGGCAGTCTAATTAAAACAACCTGGCTCACATTGGGCGTGTGCAATTAGGTAATCAAATTCCTCATTCTTTACCTGTGAGAAAAGTACGAAAGTGCAGGAGAAAACGTGCGGTTTCGAATGCAAACGAAGGACATAGGTAGTGTAACGGACCTCCCGCCAATGGGTATTCATGATCTCTAGTAATAAAAATAATGATTGAACCAAGCGCGGTTGCCACCTGGCAGTCTGCCCGCCCAAGAGCCTTTTGGGTGTACTTTCCTTTCTTTCCTATTAAATCTTCTTTTCTACCTACTGCATTTGTGGTTGCAGTTTCATTTTGCGCCTAGGGACAGATCTCTAATTTTAGTGATCTGGACCCAAAGAACCAAGGACTTCACAATGCAGCCTGATACTTTCCCATCCATTAACACTTTCTCCCTCTCTGTCTCTCTCTGGTGAGAGCATGTGCCTTCTAGCAATTAAAAAAAAAATGTAAAACAGGGTCTTGGGAGATGGAAAAAATGAATAAACTTGGGATTAGAGGCCAGAGAGGACCTTGCTGTGGTTCTCAGAACTAGCTGGCCAGCCAGTAGACAAATAATCAAGGACTGAATGTCACAACCACAGGGGCCAGGCTTCACCAGAACTCTCGTACCGCCGTCCTTTCTCCCAGTTCTAATGAAGAACACCTTACTCTCCTTCCACCTCAGGCACTGTGTTTCTGGAATGGGCATGAGCAGAGGAGGCCCAGAGCCACCTGCCAGCGGCGAAATGGATGACAATTCCCTCTCTCCAGAGGCTTGTTACGAGTGTAAGATTAATGGCTACCCCAAACGGGGCAGGAAACGGAGAAGTGCAAATGAAACAGAGGCCAGTCTCGAGGTGGGTCAGAAAGTGGTTTCTCCTGATGTCTCTTATTGTGGAAAGCCTTTCCAGATTCCTGTGGTTTCCTCTAAGGATGCTCCAACGTGTGAAAAAACTCCCCAGGGAGAAAATCCAGACATTCCCTGAGCTCTGAGCTGCAGTTTATAAGAGGCTGTGGGGTTTTCTGGAGTTTCTTGCTGATTTCAGGGAGTGGCCATTCAAAGATTTTCACATACTTGCTCATTTCCTCTGTCTCGCCAAAAAGAAAGTCAAACACCCACCCAGAGTCTGCTGAAAAGATGAGGTCTGAGATCCAGGACAGCAGTGGGCAGAACAGCACAGTGACATAGTCCTCTCTCCATGGGGATGCCAAGTTCTGAAAGCTAGAGGCTCTTCGACTGAAAAGAGCCATGTGGAGTGTGAGGGAATTGGCTTGGAGACAAAAACAACATGGAACTGAAGCAGCCTGGTTTTCTTTGCCTAGCGCTGCTGCAGCCTTTCAGTTGACTCAGAAATGCACAGATACTCACCCAGAACTCTGGCTCTGGGCCCAGAGAATCCAGCACAAGTGGTCTCAGAAAGGCAAGCAAAAAGCCAGGTGAAAAACATTGAATATTAGCAGATCACTATAGCCAGGAAGTCAGTTCATAGGTGTATCCTTTGGAGAGGATGGTTTTGCATCAGTGGACAAAATTGAAATAGACAGGTTCTTAGTACTGGTACTGCAACTCATCTACTATGGTTTAGGAAATGAGATCAATCTTTGGGGGAAAAAATCTGTTATAACAGTGCATCTCAAACTTGAGGATGCATCTGAATCACCTAGGCTTATTAAAATGGATTGGTAGGAGATACTCACAGATTTTCAGATTCAGTAGGTCTGGGTAGTGCTTAGAATTTGCATTTCTAATACATTCTCAGGTGATGTTTATGCTGTTGGTTCAGAGGCCACACTTTGAGATCTATTGCATTAGAAGAGCTTCAATTACAAGTGATTTCAACTTGACTTTTTTCCTGACATAAGTTTAATTTTTTTAATAAGTATGTGCCAACGTCAGACATTTGGTTTAAACACAGTGCTTCATGAAAGTACAGTATATACCACATGGGCAGAAAGTTGTTAGTGTGAATTTCAAGTCATGTTTTTCTTTAATACGAGAGCTGAGTGGTGGTGTATTTACATTACATTTAACGTATTGCCATGTGTCTTTCCAGGATCAGGCTGAGACAGAAGCCAATGTGAGTCTTGCAAGTTGGGATGTCGAGAAGACAGCCATCTTTGCTTTTAATATTTCCCACATCAGTAACAAGGTCCGAATCCTAGAACTCCTTCCAGCCCTCACGACTCTGACGAATCACAACAGATACTTGATTGAATCTGGAAACGACGATGGCTTCTTTAAAATCAACCAAAAGGAAGGGATCAGCTACCTCCACTTTACAAAGAAGAAGCCAGTGGCTGGAACCTATGCATTACAAATTAGTAGTACTCCACTTTATAAAAAGAAAGAACTTAACCAGCTAGAAGACAAATATGACAAAGACTACCTCAGTGGTGAACTGGGTGATAATCTGAAGATGAAAATTCAGATTTTGCTTCATTAATTCACCAACCAGAGACCAAATAATTAAAAAAGAAAAAGAAAAAGAAAAAAAAAAAAAAAAAAAAAAAAAAGGAAAACCAAAGATAGATAGGTAGAACTATATTTTCCCCCCGATCAGAATCTTCATATCATAGGTACAATCTTTCACCGAGTAAATTTGTATAAATAAGCACTATTCTTGTATTACAAAAGCAAGGTACAGGTGACTACCCTAGTTCAAAACAACCACTTTCTCAGGCTTCTTGTGTGTGTGTAGCTAAGCTACCTTGTCATGTGTTGATTCTTGAAAACTGGGGCATGTTATTTCCATTGGAGGTTGGCCATTCATGCTAATATGCCATTCTTCCAGAAGACATACAGGAATACGTTTTCAATTGATGGACACTTTTATTGTATTTTTCAAATTTTAAAACTTTTTTTCTCCAAATACAAGTACTAGGTTGGCCATTTATAATGTCTATTTGGTGCTAGTAAATTTTCAAACTAGATTTTTAAATGCACTGTAATATTTACACAACTTAGAAACCAAATTACAAGTATACTGTTCAAATACTTCATTAATTTCAATCAACCAAAGTTAGTTCAGTAGCTTATCTCAGTTATGAGTATAGTACATGTAAATTAAGTGTGTGTATACTGTAATCATGCTATTTTTTATCATTGGAACATGTATAAACTAGAATAATAATGCCCTTAATGTGAGGGTTTATAATGGTGCTTATTAAGACCAAAGACTTGTTAAATGTATACACCTAGTGGTAATGAAATTTCTGTGACTGGCCCATTCATGCATTGGCGGTCTGGAAGGACCCAGAAACAGCCTTGGAGCCAGAGGATTACCAGTGCACCCTTCATCGCAGCATGTGCAATATGCAGAGATTACTGTCAGTCATTCCTGTCAACAAGGGGTCAATGTCATAAATGTCACAATAAAACAGTCTCTTCTTTTTTTTAGTTTATCCCTTGGCTTTGTGTTCTTGCATGTATTGGGGATTGGAGGGACCATTCTGGAGACTAATATCTCCTGCGTTTAAATGATTCTGGGTCTGTTACGGTTTTAAATGTGTCAAATGTATAACCACTAGAAATAATATACTTGAGTCAGTCCCTTGTTTTATTTAAGATAGCAGAGTCTGGTATCACGAACCTGACTTACTAGTAAGAAATTTCAATTGTAGTGTCACTTCTGAAACATGATCTAATTAATTCTGGGATTTTTAAGCTCTCAAATTTAAACACTCACAAATACCACGTTCAGTCATTGTCTTAGAGCACATGAATTTCCTTTTAAAAGATTTATCATGCCCCTTTCCCTTGAATACACACAGTGCTGGAAAATCTTAGGTTTATTTCATCTTTTCCCCTTCAGTGTCTGCTGTTAGTTAATGCTAGTCTAATTACAAAGGGTTAATCTCAATTGGAATCCAATTGAATGCTATAACTCTTGATTTCTGAATGTTATCATTTGAAAAGGCTGTTTTAAGTGCAGTGTCAAATTTCTAGCAATTAAGCTTATTCAGTTGACATGAAATCATTTTTAAATTCCCCATGGACAGTAAAGCATTTTGTTGTAGTGAAAATAAGGTGAAGTAAGGCTCCTACATGAAGGGGAGGGTGAAATTGTTCAGGACACAGGAAAGGCCTCTCATAATCTTTGAGGAACTATGCTGAAGAAAATAGAGGAGATTCCATCTTATTCCAGAGAGAAAACCAGGGTCAGTTGATGTAAGCCTCAGTTTAACATGTCATCCTCACAACAAAGCTACTCATTGAGAAAATGGGTTTTCTTGCATCGTGGTGGACTCCGTGCCACTGGCTAGAGTTTCAGTCTAAGCTTCATGACAGCCTGGACAAAGATGGTTTCTTCCACCTAACAGTCCATGAACATCTTGAAGTTATTTATGTATCTCTTAGTTTGCCATCCAAAAAAATCTCACTCATAATAAGTGCTCAGTAGAGATGAGTCAAATGACTATTATTGAAGTGATTTGTATCTTGGGTAAGAGGTTAAAATATGACTCAAAATTTCCTTCTAACTCTGAGCCTATGGTTCTGTAACAGAAATGTATTAAAATTATTAGAGAAGAATATGGTAAACAACAGTTTGCATATGGAAAATATCTTTGATAATTTAACCAGAACTGCATTATATTCAATAATGGATTTTCTTTATAACAAACTACAGAAGAAAATGGAGTTGGCACATAGTGAATCACTTTGATATTTTTAATAGTCAAAGTCTGGATTTTATTTATTCCAGAGCCAACAATTTTGAACAGCATATTTTCCATGTTTCTGACTGTAACAAAACATTTTCCTCACTGTTCCATTGTAAATATTCCTCTTGTCAGATTCCTTTTAATCCTAAGATTTAAACCTGTACCTTTCAATTGTCCGTGACCTTTCAATTTTACTTTCAATAGCTGAAGAACCTGGATTTATAAATTTCTTAGAAGCTTGAAAATGTCTTGTCTCTACCCAACAACTCATTTCATTTGCCAATAGTTATTTTGTAAGTAGGGTTGAAATGAACTCAGTTTGCCTTGAAATGTTTAAACTTGCACAACTACATTTTTCTGGCCTTGTGAAATGTTTAAACTTGCACAACTACATTTTTTCTTCAACAAATAGCATTTTACTCAGCCAAAATGGCTTTGGACATTGCCATTACAAATACTGTTAAACTTTAGATATTATGTTTGTAAATTATAAGCCAAAATAAAAGACAATTAGGTTGATAATATATCAGCATACTCCAAAGTTATATACCTAAAAACTGTTAGGGATCTTTAAAACACTGTCATCATTGTCCACAAAATGTACTTTATTCTGATTTTAACTGTAGTTCTTCGAGCTATATTAGAAATGTAATTATTAAATGGTTTAAGGATTTTTTTAAATGTTAAAATATCATTATGCGGGATTAGTTTTCACATGTAAAACTGAAGATAGAGTCATTTACACATTGACAATTTTAAATAACACTTCATCAAAAAAAAAGGAAAGAAAAGAAAAAAGGCAAACCAATTTATTTCATTAAGCTTTTTTTTTTCTTTCTTTCTTTGGAGAAGTTTTTAGCTATAGGGCACGTGCGCTTGCCAGAAAGACAGACAGAGACAGAGAGACAGAAAACGAGAAATCACCCCCCAGGGGGGATGGCCACGCCGCAATCCCTTCTCCTCCATTCTCCTCTTGGGATCTTGGGCATTGCACACACACACGCCCAGCATGAGTTTAAGCCACCGGTCCGGGACTCAAACTGTGGTCGACTACATGGGAGTCCAGCGACATAGCCATTACACTAACTGCTCATCCCCTCATAAGCTTTTTGAAACCCAGTATGAACCTAGTATGATGTCTGAGTTAGGAAAAGATTCTCAGTACTCTTCTGACCTCAGAGTTAGAGAGAAAAAAGAATGCTTGAATTTGATTTTTCTAATTTCCATGTGTCTCCAGGACTGGGTTCAATTACAGGATTGGTTCTGAAAGGTTCTGACATTCTCACAAATGTCTGCATAAACAGGAGGGTCTTGTACACTTGACACCTGACATGCACTTGACAGGAGCTGGCAATATTACAAAATCTGTGATTTCAGCTAACTGCTAATGAATTCAAAACATTGTTTTATTTGGGTATTTTTTTTGGCAGAAGGGCAAAGTCACAAACCTCTTTTTAGGATACAGACTTTTTTGCATCCTTGATCCAAACCTGAGTTACAACTTCTACAAATGGATGTCAGTTTCATTTCTACTACTGGGCAGTAGAAGGTGCATCCGTTTCAACTGAAGTAAGACATGGCAGGTAAGTGTGTGTAGTTACCAGCTAAGCTGACCCTCTCCTTTATTAATTATTTTTTGGTCCCTAGGACTATTCTTATATATATATATTTATTATTTATATAATTATTTTGAGAGCTTTTTTACTATAGGACACATATGCCCACTGGAGAGACGAGAAAGAGAAAGTGAGAAGTCACCCTCCACCTTCCTAGGCCCCCACCTCCCCCACCCCCGCCAAGAGGAATGGCCATGCCACAATCCCTTCTTCTCCACTCTCCTCCTGGGAGTTTGGGCATGCATCCACACACATCTAGTGTGAGTTACAAGCAGCAGGTCTGGGACTCAAACCATTGTCAGCTACATGGGAGTCCAGTGCCTTAATCATTACACCACCTGCTGGCCCTGAACTATCCTCATTTCATAAATGAATACATTATTCTCTCTCTATTTCCATTTGCCTTGCTTAGGCTGGTTATAGTGTCAGCTTGAGGGCACCAAGACTTCTAAGTACCTCTGGACCTGTACTTTGGGTTCAGTTAAGCAATACAGATTTAGAGACGTTTTAGCAGCAAGCAGCTAGTCCATTCTGCAGTTCCTGCCTGACTTCTGTATCCCACCCGATGTGTTCTTTGCAGCTGTGTTGGGAATTGCAGAAATAAGAAAAGCTAGGTTTCCTTTATAACATAAAATACTCTCTTGGGGAGAATTAAAGCAAACTTAAATGACTAAACCTTTTCTTCTCTTAGAAATGGAGATATTTGAAAACATCCTGATGGTAATCACACATCCCCTTTAGCCTAGCTTACATGAACAGGAAGAGGTCACAGGCCTGTGTAGTTGTGTCTACACAGTGCCCAGAGAAGGCAGATGTGTCTGTTTGGAAAGATTAATGGGATGTGTATCAGAATTTCAAAGGCACAACAGGCTGGATTGGATTTGTGCCCACATGTTCCTGTAACTACATGAAACCATGTAGTGACATGTCATTCAGCCTTTCTGTCTTCCATTACATCAAGATTATCTCCCTATCAGTGTGTCCTGCACCTTTCTAGGGCAGTCCCATGATGAGGCTACAGTGACACAGTGTCTCAGGCAGGTGGCAAGTCCTGAGACCTGTTGTTTGCTGTGTGTGTAAATTGGCCTTTGCGGTTCACCTGTGGGTCATCCACAGGAAGCCTGGCGCCTCCGGTTTAGCAATCAGTGTGCTGTGAAACCAGCGCCCTAGCAGAAAATGGCTCACCAGCCACCCACATAGACCTCACACTGCCAGGAGAAGACATGGAAGCCAGGTGCACCATCCCTAAAGGCTGATGTTCTCAGTCTCAAGACTTTTTCTCAAAGTCTGTGATTCTTGGTTTACAAGCCTTTGACCTTTCTGTGGGCTGCAAGGAAAGTTTGCTGAGAACTTAGTCTTGGCTTGAGGAGAGCCCAGCCGAGAGTCCTGATACTGCAGGGCATTTGAGGTCAGAAAGCTGCACGCAACTCTTAGTTCCACTCCTTTCTAGTTTTTTGGCCTAGGAGAACTCCTTGTTATCTCTGGACCTCATTATTGGGGATAATCGTAGAACATTCCCTGTGTCCTCAAAGGATCATTATTACCTACTATACATAGTTTTCTAGATCAAACACCTCTATAGAACTTCACAATTTAAGCCCAATTATAATAATGCATCCTGGTAGATGCTACTGCTAAACTGGCTGAGGCTCCATGGGAGGCCCAGGTTTGAATCCCAGACCACACTCAGAGCTGGAGGTGGTAGCACACCCGTAGTCCCAGCTACTCGAGAGGCTGAGGCAAGTGGATCATGACATAATAAAACTTTCTGAGAAAGAAGAAAACAAAAAGGAAGAACTTCACTTTTTTAAAAAAGCACCAAAGACTTATGAACTGTGTCTCCTCTGATTCTCATTTCTATGCTGGTTTTTTAAATCGTCATTGTGCATGTGTTCAGGAGTCTTGCCAAACGTCTCTCACCTTAAAGAGGTAGAACTAAGACTAACCCCAGAGCTTCTGGGTAATTCACCATGCATGCCAAAAAAAGAATGAATTAAATACAATATGTAAAAGCAGAATAGAAACCTGTAAGCCAGAAATTACACTTGTGATTCAAGATCTAAGCCTTCTAGAAACCAGGAAAACTAGGCTAGAGAGAGCCACATCTTTCTCAACCCCTTTCCT